GAAGGTTGCTTCTCAGTTCCCACTTAGGCTGTGTTTATATACATGTGGTTGAAGGCCATGTGGTTGAAGGCCATGTGGGAAGCGCCACATCATCCGAGCACACAGCCACCTCCATCCGGGTACCTCCGTAAGAGGTCCTAGGGGCGTCCGGTATGCGGGGGGTCATCCGGTGTGTCCGGGTTCGGGTGCGTTACACTGCAGCTGGGTCAATGGTACATTGATACAAAGGAAGTTGTCCATGTGATAAGAAAGGAATAAAGAGGAGAGAGAATAGAAAAGAAGGAGAAGAAGAAAGGGAAGGGAGAAAAGGGGAAGAGGGGGGAGGTCGGGAGGAGTGGATGGTGGGGCACCGGGTTAGGTGGGGCCGGGTCAGGCAGGTGTGCCCTGACATGTGCCTATCGTGGCAACCCCAACCCAAGCCATTGTATTCGATATGAGAGTGGAGTTCAAGTTCAAAGAGCTAAGGCCTCCCAGCTAGGGCTCCTAGTGGATCGGATCGGTCCGGATCCGGATCAGAATCCGCAGATTTTTAGAGGTTTGAAACAAAAACCGTATCCGGCGGTTAGAAATCCGCAGATATGCGGATCAACCGTGGATTATAGATAATACATTCCAAAATTATAATTTGCTAGAACGGTCCTAATGAGAGCTTTCTAACAATACCAAATATGTCCATATTGGTGGAGAACTGACAGAGATATGGGGAAAATGGCACAAAAGATGGGTGTCAAATGCCAAATTTGGAAATAACGGGCCTGGGTGGTTAGATAGGACTTAAAAAAATTGGGAGAAAATATGGAAACATAGGAGGGGTATCTAGAAAAGTGGGATATATTTAATCCACAGATAATCCACCTATCTGCGGACTAGAAACCACAGATACTATCCTCTCAAAAGCCACAATAGGGTAAGAGTTACAGTAAATATGGGGAATTTCACCCCTATTTGCCTCTGATCTCCTGCATATCTGCAAGCAATAAATCATGTGATAAAACTGCGGATAATCCGCAAATCCGCGGATTAAAAACCGCGGATATTTTCCTCTGAAAATCCAAAACCAGATCTGTGAATTTCCGGATGCGGTTGTGGATATCCACAGATCATCCAATCCGCTAGGAGCCCTACTCCTGGCCCTAGCTTCAGTTTCCCCGCTTCTGATGACGATTCTGAGCCTGCACACAAGTCGCACGATGCTGCAGCCAGAGACAAGCCGACCCCAGTGCACAACAGCGCCGAGTATGAGCTAGAGAGCTAAGGCCTCCTGGCCTTAGTGATGAATCCATTGGTTTTCGAGTGTGAAATTGATCACATGTTGGATCTGCAAAGTTCTATGCCGATGTGAGCGAAGTTAGTAACCATGGACATGCAGGTTAGTTATGGGAGTGGAAATGGGGTGTACTACTGTGCCCAATCCTCCCATTCACCTGGTGGTTCTCCAGTGGCATGCATGGTAGCACGAGTTTTGGGTATAGTTTGGCACTGGAGCCAGATGATGAGTTGTTGAGGGCGCAGGTGCTTGTTCTGGGCGAGTTACCAGAATCTTCTCACGCCTTCGCACCGCATGTGACTTCTGCAGTTCCAACTTCATCATATCTCAGCTTCCACTGGGCCAAAATTGGTATCACTGGAAAGCTGCGATTTAGGAGGTTTTTATCATGAGGATGGGAGAGACTGTACAGAGCAGGATGGAGTTGAGCGCGCACATTGAGATTGTGTGGGAAGGTTTAGAGGTCACATGGCATTTAACACCGTGTGGAGTTGTGTCAGGGCAACCACACCTGACCATACAACCCCAGAACCACCTTCCCTGACCTCCCCCCACTTCCCTCATCCTCCCATCTTTACACACCTCTCACCCACATGCAAACCCATGGGAAAAATCATGTGGGTCAAGGCAAGCAACTCACCTTAACCCATGTGACACCTTTTCTGCATTGTGGGAACATGCTCGGCTTCCACCCTTAGTCATGTTATGAACTGTACAGTACATTTCCTTTTTATAGCAGCCAAGCGGGGAATAGGGAAACTTACCCTTCTTCTCAACTCAATCCCTGCTTAGTGAGTTTGAGGAGCTTGGGGTAGGATCCAGCACCTGGCTGCCTGGGACACCGCAAGTGTCCAGCTCTGAGGTAGGGCCACCCCTGGACAGAGGCCGGGCCCTGACAGAATGGCCATACCATGCACCCAATTCCTGTTCTTTTGCTTGTCTGCCCTGTTATTCATTCTGGCCCCAAACCGTCTAAACCACACCTGTACTCAGTCTATATATTGTTACAAAGTCATAAAAAGCTAGAATCCTGCCTAGGCGGAACTGTACACCTCCAAAACACCCCTTTGCCAGAAAAACAGTCCGGAAGCCTTGGTATATGCCAACTTGCTCAACTGGTTTCATCCCAGTGCATCCAATGATACTAGGAGCGCGACCTGCACTTATTCGAAGTGGTCTTCTGTCAGGGATCAGCAATGACCCTGGACCCTATGCCAGCTGCGCGTATGTGTGTGGGAAGTATGCCAGTAATTCCCGTCTACTCCACTTACCTAAGCCCCGGTGACCTGGATCATCTCTGGCATTGTTCTGGAACATTCTATGATCACGTGATTCTATTGGCAATCCATTTGGTTTCCTTATTGCCGGACTCTACATGTATATAGCTGACCGTAAGATGGGGACATCCCTTTCCCCCAGCTTTAATCACAACTAGGTTATCGGAGCATCCTGCGCAAGCATGCACATCCCCTGACATCTTCAGAGTTTCATGCCAGTACTATGAGACTCATCAGGAAACCCCCAAGGCCGATTGAAGTGGTTGAGATCATTTCAACCTCACATGATTTCCAATCACTTCAACTGGGTCCCCTGATTGTAATCACACCAATTATGGGGGTGATTGAGCTGATTCAGTGATTGTACGGTTGGTTGTATCGGCACGCTATCACATTCTCTCCCACATTGAAGTTTATCAATAAAGTTATTATATTTGAACATTATGTTACATACATACTTGGGAAAAGAACCCAGATACAAGTTATTACAGTAGTACCCAAACACAATGTAATGCAAAATGAAACACAAAATAAAAAGAAAAGGAAAGTGGGTGAAAATAAAATGTAATCAAAGAAAGCAGACGTGTGCCTCAACCGCTGAACCGTTTGGCACCAAACCCGGCATAAAGGTAGAGCTAGTTATCTTCTATCGAACGAGCCTAAGATCGTCGGAAATGGATGAGTGGTTGTCGAGTACATGTGGTAAGAAGTTGGGGATAGTGTCATGTGTGAGAAGTTTGGTTGGAGGTTGGAAATGACATGGAAAAAAACATATAAAAATCATGGGAAGGGAGGGGGATGTATTGGAGGGTATTGGAGAAGGGTCAGGCAATCGCGGAATGGTGGTGGCTCATGTAAACAAGTACAAGAGGGTGGTTAGGTGGTCAGTTTAGCAACAAACACAGTGAACCACCATACTTATGACTCAACATACAACACAGGGTAGGTTTGGACCCTCATTCTTTCTTTTTCAAGTAAGGAACATCTGGGGTGGAGTAAAAAACATTGCATTGTGAATGCAACTGGAAAAAAAAAAAAAAAAAGAGACACGCATCATCATGTTTATTCATGCAGTTCCCACAGCTCAGTTTGTTTGGGTATTGTGAGTTGTTAATTTGGTGTTGTATGTGAAGAGAGAGAGTGCGTGAGTTGGAGCAAAGAAAAAACTTCTAAGTTGCAAACCCATTCATTTGAAACTGTACAGCACCTGGATGCAAACGACGGACTCACACACATGGACGTATCCATGTGTGGTTGTGGTGATTGAGATGATTGAGAGTAGTCGATTGGGTGGATTGGGCAGATTGAGTGATTGAATTGCTCTCAACCACTTCAATTGGCCTCGGGGGTTTCCTGATGCTGGAGCGTTGAGGAGACGCAGAACAGTTTTCAAGTTAGGGGAATTCACCTTACTCCTTGAGGGGTGTGGCGAGAGGGGCAGCCGGTTGAAAGATAGGTATGTTTTGATAGAGAGCATGTCGGGTTGAGGCCATGGCAGCTCTATGAATGTTCAGCTCAAAAAAATACGCCTGCCTTTCGATGTCCCGCATTACAGATTACGACGTGAGAAGCCAATAGTCAGGAGCCAAGAGCCTGAAAACGGCCCAACAACCAGACATTGGGATTCCTTTCTCCCCCGAATTGGGAACGTCGATAGAAATAAATAATGTATTATTTACTTGCTCCTACATCCGAAAGTAATATCTGCCCTACTCGTCTTAAACATAGCCCTCGCCTGCAGATTTGAATCGTATCTGCTCGAGTTGCTCGTCAAGTATAATGACCAGTTAAGTGGTTACAGCTGGACGAAAGAGCTGCACTGATGAGGGGGTGGATGTTGTGGCAATGCGGCTATCCCACACAGCGGAGACCGTCAATACATAAAACGGTTGCTGGTGTGGCACTTCTGTTCATGTTGGTATCTTCGGGATGTGTTGTCGGGGTAACGTGAATGGTGGTAGTGACATGCCCACCACCCGACAGTTTATTCTCCTTGCCTACTACCTGATCCCTCCTTCATCATCTCCTCTTTCTTATCTGGCCCATGCGATCGCCTCTGGCCTATTGTTGTGAGCTGGGTCATCAGAGCTTTTCAGTATTGGTTTTAAACATGTAAGAACCTACGAACCTTGTTGAATGTAGGAAATACTACAAGGGTGGTTTGATCGAGTTTAGGAGAAACGAAGAGTTGGTCCTTAATCGTGTGGCCGATGCGAGCATGGTGGTCAGCGTTTATTGGGGGCGAGCTGGATCACAAATGCCCATGATAGAGATCGAGAGATGATCTGAAATCAGGGTCGAGAATTATTCTTTTTCAGTGGGATGACAAGTTGAATTTCTCTCAGAATCGGGCGCAAAAATGGCAAAATCAAGTCTTGATAGTGGAGCTGGGGTGTAGCCGAATTGCATGGGGAAATCGTAGGTGACGGCATGATGTATGGTCAAGATGAGGGGCTTCACGATGGTAACGAGTCGTCAGAACTGAGACTGGCATCGCTGCATTCAGCAGTATGGTTCGGCTCTGCGGGAATCACTAATGCGCCCCGAAATGCTTCAGCCAATTCTTTAGCCCGTGGTCGATTCGAAGGCTCCTTGCTCCAACATTTGTTTAAAATGTGAAATGGGAGAAGTGATTTACACTTTTCAAGCCGCCGAGGAGAGATAGGTGGCGTACCACCTGCAATCGCGGTCATGACAGACATTTCGCCACGGATGCCCTCGTACGGCCTTGTTGCCAGTAAAATCTAGAGGCAAAAGAATTCGCAAACATTAAAAACCAAGAGTTTTCAAATGCCTCACCTCGATGCAAGTGCACCCATAAGCGTAAACATCAGCATCGACCGTCTTTTCGTTATTTTCCAATAGTTCGGGGGCTGAAAAGCGAAGAGTCATTCCGACCACCGTGGACGTGAAGCCAGTGGGGTCATCATCCAGGACCCTCGACAGGCCGAAATCACAGATAGAAGCACGCCCGTCGGAAGCGATCAGGATATTTACCTAAAAATCTTCATTGTTAGAATCAGAATCATTCCAAAGCAAACAAATCACCTACTCCTTTGATATCACCGTGTACAATGGGTGGGCATTGTGAATGAAGATATGTCAATCCTGAGGCTACGTCGGCACACTTGAGACACACATCAATTCTCCTGACCCTAAAAATAATAAACAGAAAGGGGATGCGCACGATCATGTCTTTATTGGCGCTAGGATGATTCTTGATGAAGTTGATTGCATTTCCTTCCGGATACCACGGAGAGACAAGACCGTGGCCATCCTCACCATTTACATAGCCGAGCAGTGGAATGATGTTGGCGTGGCTCAGGCGTGACCACACTCGCATCTCTCTTTTCAGGCGCTGGATACCACATTACTTTGGCTGTATTGCCTTTTCACAAGCTTGCGCACCTTCCAGCGTTTCCGTTCCGCGTTTAAATCCTCTGTGCAGGATGGGAGGAGCACCTTCACAGCAACTTCCTGGAAGCGTTCAGAATCCGCTGCAAGCTGGGAGGAACAGATACTGACCTGGGAAATCTCTGGCGAGTTACGCGTCCATATACCTTTGTACACAACTGAGTACCCTCCTTTGGCGATCTGGCGCATTGAGGAAATATGTTGAGTGAGATTATGGCGTTTCACCACAGTCAGCCCCTTGGGCCCCTCAACTGCCTCAGCTGCAGGAGTAACGTGTCTTTTTCCTAGATGGTTGGTTTGAAGGATAGGGCGAGTCGTAACTAGACGTCTTTCGCGGCCGTTCGGAACCGGATTCGTGCTACTTTGTCTATAGGGCATCTTCCTCCGCGGAGTGGCATCAGAAGCTTGGGAATTGCCACCCTGATTTGGAATGGAAGCCACTGCGGAGCGGCGGCGCACTGGTTGGGCGTTGGGGTTGGCGGGTGGAGTTTCGGGCAGCTCAGATGCGCCAAGTTGCTGGAAAATATCCGTTAACTTGAACATTGTGAAATCGGTCCCAGTCCGCTTGGTCCTGATATGCGACTTGATTTCTTCATGAGCACCTTTCCGAATCCTCTCATTCTACAGACATAAGTATGGGTGTGTCAAATGTAAGTGTCCAACTCGTCTGCAGAGATTTGGGGAGGAGCAGCGCTTACTGTGGGAAGAGGCTTTCCTACCCCCTCACAAACAATACCATGTATGAGGCATCGTTGGCAAGGTTGTTCAAAATCGGGATCATCAGTTGCCTTGTCCTCACAAGGTTGCTTTCGCAATCGACAGGCAAAGCATGAGTGGCTATGACGTCTCGGGACATTTGGTACTGAGCTGGAAGCTTCCATCACGCGCTGTTTCTGATGGTGTAGTGGAAGATCGAAGCCACTGGCAGGTCCTTGGTTTTATAACTCCTTAGCGCGGCTAACAAGAGTGGCGAAAGACACTGCATCCCGGAAATTGGAAATTCGGGGGTTCGAGTCACCAAGTTGTACAGCGCCTCAGCATGCACGTGAATGACAGCGCTTTTGAGGGAATCTGTACGGTAAAAAGTGAAAGGGGGCATGGATATGTTCCGCGGGAAATCTGGACAATTGAGTTTGGGAGAAAAAATCGTAGGACCCGCTACGGAGTAGCGGGAATTTTTATTATCAATACAGTTAGATTATATCGCAATACAGCATGTTAGCGCCGCCCACTCCGTGTTCCTCACTCTGAACTTCCGCACACCATCACCGTCTCATGACCAAGCACAACTGTAGGCAGGTAACCAGCCTAGCACAACTGCGGCAGAGACCAGGCGTCTCATCGTCCTGATGTCTGAAAGCCCCTCTGCCCAGGAGATCGCACAGGCTACCCGTCTCAGCGATCGCACGGTTCATAATATTCTCTCAGCTCACAGGCAAAGGATCCCCTTTGAGGAAGTTGGCAACCGTGGGGGTACTTACTCTATAGCGCTGAGGGCATACTCCATGTCAATATTCAGGAGGGAGCATATAAACAGCTACCTTCAACAATTTCATTCATTCTATCCTTCCTCAGATGAATCCGTTCTCCTCAGTCTCTTCTCATTATGTATCACGCGTCAATCCATAAATCCGACGGGCTTGAGCAAACGTGTGCTGACCAGTGTATATGTTTTGTAGTCATTAAAGCTATATCGTAGAGGTGTTCAACTTGTGTTCCCCCGACTTAAACTCAACGGGGAACGCTAGTGAAATTTTTATTATCAATATAATTATATTATATTGCAATACAGTATGTTAGCGCCGCCCCGAGTGGAGTGATTTCACCTACTACTCGTGACCCAATCAATATAAAATGGTATCAAGGGTGCCCCCACCCTACCTACCTTCTTAGATAGCAATCAACCGTCTGAGTGCATGCACTGGTGCACTGGTGCACGAAGGAAAATATGATTCGGAAAATAAGATTTCGGAGGGGCCCGAAGGGCCCCAGAAGCTCTGGGGTGCCCGTGACTGAGTTTTCAATTACAATACATTTTCACCAGCACTTCGGCGCGGTTCTATTGCCGGCATCGTCTTCCGATGCGTTGTCATTGCCGTCACCATCGTCAACATCGTCGAAGTCAATCTTCACCAGTTTTGCCCATTGTTTCTTCGTTCCTTTTTCTGCTTATGTCTTTACAGCATTATTGTCTCCTCTGCTCACGCCATGTATCAATCTCAATACTATTCATTATTTTTGTCATCGTCATCGTTGTTGTTGTTCATTTAAGTTGCAATTATTACATCGATTCCAAATCCATACTCTCTAATGCATTCACAATCCTCCCAAGGAGATGATGGTAATCCTGGTCATCATCGTCATCGTCATCGTCATCGACATCGACATCGACATCTTCAATCTCTTCGTCCCAGTCCTGCGCCACCATCCCTTGAAAATCCTCTATTACAGGGCCCTGACTGCTACTAGGGGCATCACCTTGCAGTTCAGCGATAGGATCGGACACCGTCTGAGTTGTGGAGGAATTATTGTTCGCTGTAACTATTTAGTTATGCTGAGAAATGCGGGGAATGGTGAAGAGGACACTTGACGTACATTCAGAGGTTGACACATTAGCCTGGTTCATATCCTCTATGGGACCTGGACTTCCCACTCTGCGAATCGCTGGAAGAGGTGTGCTGACACCACCCTGCTTCTCCAGAAGCTTCAGTTTTCTACGCAATTGTCTATTTGCGTTGAGTCGGCACTCAGCCATGAGTGAAATGTATTTGGCGAGCTCGGGGTGGGTGTGCTGAGTGGTCTCAATGACTTGACGCAGGTGAGCTTCCTCCTCGATCACCGAAGCCCATATCCGATGAGCTTCAATCCCAACAATCTTGACCTCCTCACGAGCGCGTTGAAGTTTGTACCATGCACGTGTAGCATCACGAAAATGACGCTGAAACCATCGCTTGTCCCGGATGTCCTCACGGCCACGTAACAGGATGATATCGGAGAGGAAGTGGAGGTCCGTAACGTCCTGCCACGTAAGTGATGGTTTGGGGGGATTCAACGAGGCTGCCAAGGTGTTATATTTCTGGAGTGTTGATTGCAGTGATTTCCCCCGCTTGGCGACCAATGTGGAAATATGCTGTCGAGTTTTATAGTCTATGGGCATGAATAGTGGTATTAATGGAATTAATGCCGAGTGATATAAATCTCACCTGTTTTTGGCAAGCCAATCTTCTCAAGCTCAAGCTGACGTGAAATAGCTCGCTGCTCAAGCTCATCAAGAATGTGATGATAGTCTCGCTGTTGACGCAGAACTATCGCTTCGAGACGCTGGGGGGAATCGGACGTCCAAGGGAGGATGAACAATGATCGGGCCTCTATTGCCATTACCGCTGAACGAGCAGTTTCAAGGGTATCGATTGCTTGTGCTACATGCTGCCCAAATTGCGCTGATAACGCTGCTGGCATTCCAATTTGCAACGTCCAGTAACGCGTGGTTGCTCTAGTAGAATAATTGAGCTCAGCGGTGAATACAGATCAATGCTTACATACTCAGCGCGTTCCAGATGCTCAATAGCTTCCAAATATTCAATCTTGACTTTCTCATCGGTGGGCTCCAATTGAAGTGAGGAGATATAGTCTCGTTCTTCAGATAGCCACTGTGGGCAGTCGTGATCTGCATCAAAGTCTGGGAACAACACTTGTGTCTGGTCAAGAACCGTCGTGTCATCGCTAATAATCTTCGTAGCAGATTTGAAGTTGTTCAAGAGGAAATCACCTATCAAAGTTAGGTTAGGCATTTAGGGTGATATACACACATAACGGAGATGCACCTAATTTTTCATATTTAATTTCGTCCCATTTGGAGAAGTGGATATGTATGCGCTGGTGACGGTGGTATGGGGAAGCATGTCATATGATTGGGGCAAGGGCATTACTCTCTGAATATACTCGTTCATTCCCTTCACCATCTTCTATGCCTGCCCCATTCTGTAAGGTAATAAGGAAGTCTAGCTGGCATGACCTGTCATGAGCAGCACCATGAAAGGAACCGGTACAACACCTGAAATTGGCATCTCTAGCCAAGGCCCCAATGGACGACTTCGACAAGGTCGCAGAGAATGTACACGCAATGTCATAGGCGAATAATATATTCTTACCGAATGTGCGTATAAGCTTCTCAGCGGAAGCCAAGGGATACTTTGCCCTATATGACAACATTAGTTATACCGAAAACATTTTAAGCTTTTGCTCACAGCTCTCCACTTTGCACCATGTCAAGGAGAAATTGCATGATCCCATGCCTACAAACAACCGAAAAAATACCTGTTTCGTCCATAACCTGCAAAGCTCCGGACTTTGACTTTGACGGCATTGGTCGGGCATTCCTCCAGGCTAGGCAGGCCTCCGATATGGGTGGGTCCTCTGTCGTCTGTGGAATAGGGGCCACCCGTGATTGTAGAATACAACGGCTGTACTAAAAGCACTTACCTGGCTTGAAGCACTTGGTTGTGAACGCTTTCGAGCACTGGCAAACTGATCAACATCTCCCCGAGAGATGTAATAGTCGCTGAAAAAGATACGAGAATCCCCCTCAAAGTGGTGACGAAGTCGCGAAAGGGAGGTGTTCCCATCGCCAGTCACGATAAACTGGATTGGGAGCTCTGGCTCATCCTCGACCTGGAACCCAACATCACCATGAGATTTGTGACAGCTTACCTATGATCGCGCTCACTTTATGATGGCATGCTGGGCAAGAGGTCTTGAGGCGGTGGTCTGGCGTGTCATGTCCCAGTTTCTGCTGTACCATAGCACGTAGTCGAGATAGGATGCAGTAATAAACATCAAACGCGAGTGAAATTTGAGTTCTCAAGTGGGGTTGGAACACGGTCTAGTGTTTTGTGGTAACAAGAAACTGTCAAGAACAACGAGATGGGCCTACCCTGTGCATGTCAGCAAGCAGTCGGGAGTAGTTTTGGATACTGAAGTTTGGTGCTGCCCGAAAAAGCGAGTGAAGCAGTTCAAGTGTCCGTAGAGAAAAGGCAACTTGAGGGTCTGTTGGGGTCGGTGGAAGATATCCGGTTCGTAGGAGTGCATGGGTGCGATTTTCTGTTTCGTCCCATGGTATGTATTCGATTGAACGGCCATCTGTGGCCTAAGTGAGGAGCTATGATTGGTGCGGGTTGGGTTATAACTCACCAAAGATATCAATGCATTGTATCTCAATCCAGTTGCTACCTGGTTGAGGTTCTGGGTAGTGGACGGGTACACAGGACGAATTAGAAGTCTTGATTTGTAGGTAGAGGCTAGTAAGAGTGTCGAGTTGCTCCATCCACTGGGCATGGAGCCTAGACATCCGTGTACTCCATTCGTGGCCCTTCCTTCGCCTAGACAGGTATTATTTGCAGTAGTCATCATACCAACCTTAGAAGGAGACTCACGGCTTTGGAGCTAGTCTTGAAATTAATTTACGTAACTGCTCGAAATCAAGCCCTACATCGTCCACCAGATTCAACTCATCTCTCCCCGGCTCATCATACCAATCATCTAAGAAGTCACCCGGCGCAACCCCACCATCTTGAATCTCCGAAAGGCCATCAATAACCACCCGTGGAGTAGCTGCCCAAGGTATGATGAGATCAAGTAAAGTTCAGAGACTTCAATCTTACCTTTCATCAATTGCTCGTGGGCATCACCCACAGTTAGTCGGGCCTTCTTGCGTGCAACTGCCCCGCTCCGAGTAAGGGACAGTGAGTCCGTGGCCCAGTTGGTCAGGATTGTGTTATGCTTGCGCCTTCTTCCCATGCTGCTCCTGTAGAGTAGACTGGAAGGAATGCCATGGAGCGTCAAGAATAAAATTTTTAATGCTTACCACAGGGTTATCACGAATATTGAAATTAGGTGGTTGTCGGAGCTCGCTTAGGAGGCAATAAGTTGGCAGTGGCCAGATAATCTGGAATTGTTGGCTTGCAGTGTGTGTGGGTTGGTTAGAATAGAGATACTAGATAGTCGAGGAGGATTGAACTCACGAGATGTTCAGTGGCAATTCAGTTGAGACAAATCCAATTCAACATCACACTAGCGCCACGCAGCCTTGCACAACATGTTTCGGTTGAGTGACAAAGACAGGCAGGATGGTCAGTACGTGTATAGCCCTGAGTTTTGGAGATGATTGACCTGTGAACAGAACTAAACTATGCCAAATCAAGGGGTACTGCGAAGGACATGTTTCAGAACTATGTCCGAGCAAGCCGTGCAGTATACCGCTTGGATGACAAAGAAATAGGAATTTTTAATCAAAAAATAAGCGAGGCCTACATTCTTGAGTTCTATGTGGCATGGAAAATGAACGGTGAGTAGTCATTCATTCACAAATATGGCCTGAACATGCTCACAGTGATCCAGATACCCTACCAAGGTTTGGGGAACACGTCCCACAAAAGATCGAACAAATTATTCCACGGGAGATTTTCACAAAGGAGATGGCACGTATGGTGATGGAAAGCCTCTTAGCCCCATTGCTGGAAGTGCGCACTCAGATGTGGAGTATCCGAGCGCTGGTGCGTAGTTCTTGATTGTGTGCAAGACTTCAAATCTTACCTACAAAAAAGACTTCTGTCCTGGATCGCTTAGGACACCACAGTTTCGCGTTAATCGATTATGAGGGCCGAAAGGCGCCAATCAACATCATTCTGCCAAAAACCATCGAAGCCGAGGAGGGATGGTCGCAATTGCGGTTGGAGCTCCTGGGCGCTTTCTTAAAGATTCCACAATCTGTTAGCGCACCTGTAATTCAGATGATGGTTCCCCACGCCACTCAGGGTGGGGATGGTACTGCTGCTATACAACACGTAGCTCCCAGTACTCCCAGTGTGGTCTTGGCTCCAACTCGCCCAAGGACAGCCTGTCCTACAACACCATACTCCCCTATTAGCAAAGGCAAGGCGATGGGCGATCGTGGACCCACCTCCAGGTCGAATCTCTCATTCAAGATGCCTGATCCCTCCATGATTACCGCCACACCAATGCCTCCGAGTCCCACAGCAACACTGCGGTCATCGTCTGTTTCATCCAACATATGGGAGAGGTTAGCCAACGAGAGTGCGGACCCCGAGGCAATCGGTGCGCACCTTGCAGAAGTTTCACTTGCATCAAACGTAGAAGTGCCGAAAAGATGTAAGTACTTCTACTAAGTCGTAACAACGCACCATGTTCACTCCTATTCATTCGAAGTCGGGCACAGTCCCTCCTATGCCCCGGCTGCCACGGCCACTGCTCCTGTGGTGTCAGCATTGACCCAAGAAAACGTACAGAGCCTAGAGCAGAGCAGTTCACAGTTGGGCATGACCAACTTGACGGCGACGACTCCATCAAAGGACCCAAGGCATGCGCCACCCATTTCCACATCGCATGCTGGCGAACTCTACGGACATCACGACAAGGATCGAGAGCTTACTGAAATGGACATAAGCGTTATCGTTCTTTTGGCCCAATCCGTAAAATTCAATGAAGTTGAGTATCGCAACACATTGATAAAACGGTTTGATCGTTCCCCAAGCGAGGCATACTTGCTCGCAAAGGTGGCAGCAGCGAACCGAAGGTAACTCTATACATTTAATATGTAGCTCTGCCATTCCTGAAAATACACAAAATAAAGTCATTCAGAATTATTATTAAATTCATAAGCGCGGATGTACAAACAGGGGATTTGCTTTTGAATTGAATGGGGGTTGGTTTGTTATTGTTTGTTCAGTTTCCTGTTTGCATTTGACAGTTGCACTCTAAGATGTCAGCCCCTTCACGGCAAGGTAATGTGAGATTCAAAGTTTCGAATCTGAGCAGTGCGACTTACTATGTGCCAATGGTGCTAGCAACTGGGCAGAGAGAAAAGGACCTAGTCAAGGAGGCGTTCAATGAGCGAGTCGCTGCACTGAAAACAAATTTTGAAGCGCAAGTCTCGGCCATTGCACTCGAGTTTTCCCGTCGTGGTCATCACTATTCCCAACGTCAAATTCGAACCCAGGTGATCTACAAGTTGTCGAAGCCAAAGAAGATGCGCAAGCCAATGATTCCCAATGCTTGGGCTCATGCTGAGGCCCAGGCACAACGCCTGAAAGGTAAAAAAAATTGGCTTACAAACAAAGGGAGAGTATGCTTACTATGAAAACTCCAGACGGTAGATTGGCACAGCTGCCTTACAAGAAGGAATATGTTCAGATCCTCGAAGATATCAATGAAAAGAGAATCACGTACCAGGATGTTCAGAACCCGGTGACCTCGACAGAGGAATACAATGCTCAAGTCATCCTGGATGGTGTTATGGTGAAAAGGCAGAATCGTGCGTTGAAGGAAACAATCATCTCACCTGAGCTATCCATGAACTCGATCGCAACTCACGCGCGGGATGAGCTGATAAACATCGTAAGTGACCAGCACTCAAGCAATTGATGGCCAACTACTTAAAAAGAAATAGGGGAAAATGGCTCACCAGTCATGTGGCGTCGAGATCCTCATCATGATGACTCGAGGGCATCGTGATGACTTATTCACACCGGTATTCTGGGCAACAGATAAAGCAAAGAGCTACTGGGGTGCACTGAAAAACATTGATATGGAATGGCATCTTCGCGTTATGGAAGCACATGCAATCGGCATGTTAGAACGTATGTGGCCGAATCTGATCTTGAATTACTCACTAACGCAGGCATAAGCCATGGCCCAAACCTTCAAGACAAAGGCTGTTACCTTACGCCGTGAAGTGGCAGAGGCAACCAGGCTCGGCCTCCGTGAGTGGTGCCATTCAAGTTTTCTCACAGGCGCTTACCGAATATAAAGGCAAGATAACAGAAAAACCTAGATTATCAATGGAGTGGCGGCCTGAGAATTATTTGAGGCTAATGACCAAACACCGTGTTGCGATTGACATGTCCAGTTATCCGGGTGGCACACTGGTCGAACCTAAAAATGCAAATGTTGACCATCTGCGTCAAGTGCTCGATGGATGGAACAAGGGAGACATCAAGTGGGTCACGTTAACATCAGATCAAGTGGAGAAGAAGTGCGAAGAGCTTGCGTCACTTACCTCGAACAAAGCGAACAACGCCGATGTGACTGCGACACAAGAAAGAATGCCTCAAGCTGAATCGTCGATGTGAGCCTTCTCAATGTCTGAAACGAGCTGAGTCTTGTATGTACAGGTCATGTTCTAGCGCGAGGGAGTGTAGAAATGGAGAGGGAGAGGTGGGGATGTCTGAGAATGCCGCAGTGGCGTAAGTACATGAACAAAAGAAGAAAGATTGATCCTTACAATATTCTAGATCTGTGGCTTCGGCTACGACCCCAACACCTCCTCAACCCAACGCCACCCAATTCTCAGCGGTGACGAACGATCAAGTGAAGACCACCAGGTAAGCCCTTGATATGGGGCTGAAACCGCTGATTGAGCAAAACCAGTCGAGGTTCCAAACGTAAAGCGACCCAGACGTCGAAACCACGGAAGAGGAGACAGCGTGCACCAGCTAGCGCTGAGAACGAGGGCTTGCTGAGCTAGTGGTGCGGGGAGATGTAAAGTTTTTCCTTGCCACGTGTCCCTCATACCATTGATCAGTGCCTCACATATTCTACTGTTGTTCAATGGTTGGAGTCACACCAAAAAGGCAACTTACTCCTTTGCTGCACATGATTTCTAATGTGGCAAGTACGTACAAACCTCAGTTCTATTATACCAAGCAGCGAGCGTTGAGTGTAAGGCCCGCATCAAGTCTATTATATTGAGCATGCAACAAAAAAGATGGCAGTAGGACTGATGTGAACCCAACGACTGCCAACAAACTGGAGTGGAGCGGGAAGAGAATTAGACTTAGACGACGATGACGATGACAAAAATAATGAATAGTATTGAGATTGATACATGGCGTGAGCAGAGGAGACAATAATGCTGTAAAGACATAAGCAGAAAAAGGAACGAAGAAACAATGGGCAAAACTGGTGAAGATTGACTTCGACGATGTTGACGATGGTGACGGCAATGACAACGCATCGGAAGACGATGCCGGCAATAGAACCGCGCCGAAGTGCTGGTGAAAATGTATTGTAATTGAAAACTCAGTCACGGGCACCCCAGAGCTTCTGGGGCCCTTCGGGCCCCTCCAAAATCTTATTTTCCGAATCATATTTTCCTTCGTGCACCAGTGCACCAGTGCATGCACTCAGACGGTTGATTGCTATCTAAGAAGGTAGGTAGGGTGGGGGCACCCTTGATACCATTTTATATTGATTGGGTCACGAGTAGTAGGTGAGTGATTTCCGCGAAACATTTCCCTCAAAGCACCCGCCAGCCTTGACATGTTCACAACCGCAGCAAAACTCGCCGGACATTGTTGAAGGGTGAGTCGTAGTGCCATCCGACGCACGCAGCTTGCATGACACGCTGTGTAGACGCTCGACACCACGCTCGTACCCGCACCGCGCCATCATCCGAGTCGCAATCCCATCCTTTTACCACACAATAGCCGAATGGTAAGCTTGTTGTAATATAGAACTGCGTACCTTCTAATAATAAGTATCGTAGTGCTGTGCTTTGAAGGTTGTGGAGCACTCCAGAGGGGGTCCTTGCTGTACAGCCTGTCCGGTGTTTGTGACGTGATACTCGGCCACTGAAGTGCCGACGCTATGTCAGGCAACTCATAACAAGAGTAACATTGTCGAAGTGGCGGAACGAGCCTCAGCGGAAGGGGCCCCTTCCATTAAACCAATTGGCCACCTGACCGACCGTTTGGGCCCAAGGCGCGCTGCCCAAGCGCTGGTGTGGCCACGGCAGGCATCCCTTCAATCAGTGTATTAGACAGTGAATCAGAGCCCCTAATCACTTCCGCAGAGGAAGTGTCCCTCATTCATTCTGCGGGCTTCTGTTAGTCATCTGGGAAGTAGCTTCCAGCGTGATAGCGCCGTAACTTACGTGCACAGCTTCAGACTCGTCCTTGTCGGGATGAAATTCGCGTCATGCAAAGCGCCGCGAGGTGAGTTTCCGAGCGCCTAATACGCGGCGGACTCGAACCCCTCTGCAGTGCATTTGTACATTTTCCATTTCCCCCTCCGCTTCCCTGTTCACCGGCCTCTTCATCGTAGATTTTATCTAGTGTTTTCACTGTTATGCACCTTCAGTTTACCATCATTTGTGGCTATTATTCGATCAATTAGCTCCCCAATGAAAGCAGCGTCAATATGTGAAGTACTGTGAACCTGCAGACTTCAAGCCAGAAATCCACGAGACAACAATAAATTCCGCCAACTCCACTACTGTTGCTAACCCAGAAGTGGGACACATAAGCAAATTTTTATTATATTTCCGGCTACAGACCTCAGAATCGAGTCGTTATTTTTTTGAGCGAGAGCTCTGTATCACCTGTATCTACTGGAAAAATACTGGAGATATTCTTTGAGTTGTGGTGGCTGAAGAAAAGTTTTGTGTTGCGAGCTCAAAAACGTGCCGGGAATTTCCGTCACCACATCGTTGGACAGTGCTATCAGAAGCCCCGCACCAGCACCTCCGCTGCCTCTAGCTCCTCATTTGATATCTGGCTGTTGCCTTTCCAATGCACAACTGGTGGAGGAGGTCCCGGGAAATCGCGGGTGTATTTCCATACATATACTCGACTCCCTCTTCATCCGCGACAGGGTTCGGATTTCCATAGACTCTGAATCTTCTTACTCTGCAAATCAGCTAGGGCACATGATATTCGCTCTTCAATGTCAGAGGAAGGTCCCATAGTGTCAGAGAAAGAAATGGACGGAAATTTTGGGGGGATCTGGCAAGGTTTATAACATCGCATTTTCAGGGTCACTCACTGTTGGTAATTCTGGTCCTGACAGCGCTGACAAGCAATAGAACTTTCCAAAAATGCGAAGAAGATTTCTTGAGAGCTTTTAGAATCGACTCCAATCATTTTACGGAAGGGTGTAAGGTAGACTCGTGAGCTACAGGGGCAGGAGCATAGCAGAATGACGGTTTCGGAGACAATGGCCCGATAGTTATATGTCAAACACCACAACACTCATATAAAACTCCGGGATTTTTTTGGACAGTTACATACATGTGATTCCTCTGCACATAATGGCAAAGAATGGTCGGTGAAGGAGGAGATATGAGGCAGTTATGGGCATTTGTCCCATTTCTAGGTGTGTCCAATCCCGTGATATATTATAGTATAATACAGCTATTGCCAGCGTGTCACAATTCCGTAATAAACTTGCTGCTAGCATGCTTCAAACCAGCTGGTCAAGTGCAGAGCTACGAAATTGGCGTTATGTAACTATTATTATATTTTAGTCTCTGGTGCAAAATATGAAGCTGACGCATTATTGGTAGCAGATAAATAATTGAAAAAGTCCCCAAGATCTACGCATAAGGTCCGAAGGTGCGAGAAAGATGCCAGTGAGTCGCAACCGAAAATAGATAGTTTATCTCGGACTGCACCAGACATGCAAGTGCTTCAGACAATTATTACCACAGTGTCGCTCCTCAATGATCGGAATCGGGAATCGAATCCCAAATAGGACATAATTGATCCCAAGCCTTGTTGTGTTTCTGAGATTGAGGTCCTTTCACTTGTCCCGCAGGATCCTCTGCGAAGACGACGGCCAGACCCCTACATAGCAATTTTAAAAAAAAAATATTACGCCTCGCAATAGAACCTGACTCACTTTCCAAGATGCCAGTCAATATGACAATGGAAGATCCAAGGACCAGGATTATCCGTTCTGAATCTAGATCAGAAAAAAAGATAACATTCCCAGTTCAGCTGCTCCACAATCTTGGCATCGTGAAAAAAAATAATATAGCGCACCTAATCGTGGTGAAATCCGATGTTGATTTGCCTGTCGAAACGACATCTCGCTGGACTGGATTGTCTGTATATATTCCAAAGATTGAGGATCGTAAAGCCTGAAATAGATCCCAAACGCACCGTAATTATACAAGGTCTGCCCTGCGCTGCGGACAACGCTAAACTTATGCTATATAGACACAACGAGTCATCAGCCGACATGGCCCGCATTCCATAGTAAAAGGGAGGGCCCTTACTCCGTGCAGATGGAAGGGGTGCGGAGCCCCAGGCGATCCACCAGGAACAGAAATCTCGATCACGCTATTCCTCGGTAGGACATATACAGATCCCTTGGGGAGTAGATCCTTGGGATCCGCTCCATTTAGAATTTGTAGAAGAATTGGAACAGAAGGGGATTCGTAGGAGGCACCATTTATGAGGAACGAACCGTTACTGAATACTATGTTGAAAACGAAGGGGGGTACGTCAGGAGGATTATGACCACCAGGCTAACAGCGAGCAACCAGTAGTTGGTGTAAGTATGTCGTAGAATGGATGGGAGATTAGTAGTTGCACGTACGGGTGTGGGGTCTGAGTAAGGTATCAAATTTTGTTCGAGAAGTGTTGTTCCTAAAGTTTGTGCAGTACCATTAGGTTCCAGCACAGGGGCACCTTGGTAACGAAGAATGGCCTAAACAGGGCATAGAACAAATTTAAATTTCAGGGTCCAAACATGGAGAGGTTGTGGAGTAAAACACGTACGGAATTGATTCCACCGACGAAGCCTTGCGGACCATTCGAAGGGCTAGCTCGAATCCAGTAATTGCCGATGGGTTGATCTGCGGCGACCTGATCCAAGAGGGATTAGCACTGTGTGATGAGTAGGGAGAGAGTGCCTACAATGACAGAATAACGCTGACCCACGAAAATTTGCAATGAATTCACAACCTGAGGCTGAAAAAAAAAAAGAATTTCTTGTCAACATCGAGAAACGAGGGGAAAAGAGTCGTCCCCCGCACGATAGGAACCCACTCACCTTGGTCGTGATGCCATCCGCTTCGATTACAGTCATCGTATGTCCTTCGAAGGTTATAAGATAGTTGGGACTGCATGCGATATTGACGAGTCGCATGCGGTATCTTTTTCCCTTCTGTACTGAAATGACCGATAGAGGTTGTGTCGTGTTACCCGAAATGCGACCGAGACCATTGATCTATACAGAAATACACGTCTTGGTCATCAGCATCCCAAAAGGAGGCCCGATCACCCAATCACTACGCACCAGGTGCGAGTCAGGTCTTGGAGGTGGTCCTCCCGAGAGTACTGGAGCAAACCTGACAAGAACGTAAGCTCACAAATGACCCAGACAGGAGGAAATAAAAAACTTACGTATGATACCAATCTGCGAATGTTATAACAGTACTCGCGTCGTCTACGTCGTACATTCGCTGATAAGGGTCCTGAGGATCATCTGACAGAAAAAAAGGCAGCCTGTCACTGTCAATGTCTGAGAAGGTTTACGATGGCACCCACAGACAACAATGGGACCTCGCAAGCCTAACAGTGAGAGTAGGATTAATGAGAGAAACGGATAGGAGGAATGATCGATGCGCACCATCGCAGTATTGAGTCGCGTAGTGTGAGTGGTACCTTTCGGGTCATCCTATTAGTACCAGCAACATTGGCTACATAAGCAGGTGCTTACCAGTACGTCCCAGTTTGCCCTCCAGTGGGAAACTTGTACTTGAAACTGTACCCCGAAGCGATTGGGCACTGAGTGACAAACGCGGGGCCTGAATACACGTGATCATAGGTCAGTGTCAGACCGAATTAATCATAGAAGGGAGGAAGCTTCACCATCCATTGCGGCAGTACGGTGTTGGAAGATGCCATGCCAGTGCTTCGGAGGAACATAAGATGACAGCACATGCGATTCACAACACTGTCACTACCCACAATAGAAGTTCCTTTGAGCATCCTAGGATCGCTCAACTGATTGTTGACCTCGACTTGAAAGTCGTCGTGGCGTTCCGCGGTGAGCAGACGGCCGAAGGTCCCATCAACAGTGACTGCAGGCCTTGTATACCCATCCGGATTCACGTTGGCGTCCAAGATGTTGAGAGTATAATGTCGTTGTTTAGCGTTCGCAGATCCCAGCGTCAGCGCTAGAATGCATGCAAGAAAGTTGAGCATAATGATAGTATCAACCAATGTTGGGGGGGGTGAGTGCTGCCCATGAGGCAAGTCTCCCCTATAAGAGAAATTGATGCCCTGTATAAATCCCTAGGGCAAACGTAACGTGTTACTATCTCGGCTCTGCTCTTCAATTGCTTCTGCTAGTTGCCCGTGGACCAACCTGTCAACATGAAATGCTCCGCGAGGGAACCGAGCGCTGACCATGTGTCATAATTCAGCATATTCGGGCACTTGCGCCAGAACGCCGTAAATGGCTAGAAGGGCTGATTGACCATTCAATTATTTGATCATGAGTGGTAAGGAAGATGTCGATGGTTGTCGTAAGGAGCAACGAGATCTTGGTGGAGATTGTTATACATAAGAGTTGCCGTCACGCCTTCAAATACGAACAATAAAGGAACAGCCATGAATACTATTTGAATTGTGCCAAGCAGGCACGCCCGAATCAACTTAGACGCGGTATCCAACTCAGTACATAATGTGGATGCAACAACCGAGATCCGAGATTACATACATGTAAATGATAGGACAAAGAAAGTCCCCCGAAGAACAGCTGCAGCCCGGAGGACCCTAGTGCCATGTGTGTCAGCCTCACAACGAGAGATATGATTCGTTTCAGATTCCGACAACGGATCTCCGCGAACCAACCCTATCACTTCCGTATTTAAGACGTCCTGATGGATCTTCGGTGCGGTACGCCAGATCCTGACGGGCCCGAATAACCGACACTTTTACTTACGTCTATGATTTACTTAGTATCTTGGAGAGTCAGAGGGTCCAACTTGAATTCTCAGCCCTCTTGGGACCACCGAAATGCTCATTTTACCATCGGCCTGTGAACACTGAAAAGTGGAACGTTGATGTTCCACGGATGGCTGATTACCCACGGGCGATGGAGCACTGACTATTGAGAGGGCAGGGACCAAAAACGTAACCGCAGTTCCGCCTTCACGGACTTGTTGCCGAAGATCATCGAACAACACCAACCGCGAGGATCATAACAACACATTATGATTGACGGAAGCACTGCTACGTGGTCACGAGGTCACGTCACCGGGCGCAGGACATTAATCTAACGATCAACGGGGCTCGACTCTGTAGTCCTGCCTCAGCTGTTTGACTGAACGAGTTACAGCAATGAGCCATGCCTTGCCGAATTGATTGTTCTCCATTCTCTGTATCAAGTGTATGTCCGCGGAGCGCGCTGGCCAAACTCCATTATCGCGGAGTGACATCTAGGACACAGCAGACAAACCGAATATTCCATGGGGAAACGGAAACGGACCCTCAGACCCGCCTAATTCTTACTTAAAGACATCGTGCGAGACAGATAAACCCACCGCAACATTAGCGAAATCATACCTGCATATCAGACTTAGTGAGTGTTTTCGTGTTGGTTCATTTGTTTGCGTCGTTCACCGACTTGACCATGTCAGAAGTAGACCTGCGACCGGTTCCGTGGGGTGTGTGGGCATACGAATTTCGTAGTCGTGTCAATTTTCCCATGTAAGCCTTCGTACGTAACAATCTTCTATATTGAGTCATTTCGCTTTTTGTTTCTCCTATTTCCCTATTTAAGGATGACATGAATTCATTTGCAATTGACTGACTTCTCACGTCATGTTCTTTTTGTGTCAATCATCGTGGATGGTAATTTCGTTTTGGGACGGCGGCTCAAAAGGAGTGTTGAGTGTGATTCGTGCGGCCAAAGCAAACCTTGTTGGATTTGGGCTGGTGGGCACTCTGCTGGTATTGTGGCTGGTACTGCTTTAGCTTCTGCTAGCGGTGGTTACTACAATAGCGCTGTTGCCTCCTAGGATCGTTGTGCTTTGAGACTGAGATCCTTTCACTTGTCCTGCTAGATCCTCCGCAAAGACGACGGTCATGCCCCTATATAGCATAAAAGACAAGCAAATTGGTCAATTTTCTCTCTCCAGGATTTAGCAGAATAAATTTGACTTACAATCCAAGATGCCAGTTGATATGACAATGGAAGATCCAGGGACCAGGATTATCCGTCCTGAATCTGGTTCAGAAGAGGGAAGGAAAGAAATGCACCACTAGTTGCTCCACATTCTCGGCACTGCGGACAAATAAAAATGACGCACCTAATCGTGGTAAGATCCGTTTTTGATTCTCCCGTAGAAATGACATCCCGCGCACTGGATTTTCTAAAATTTTCCAGGACCGAAGATTAGAAATTAGAGCCTAACGTCGGAGGGAGGATTAATGAGACACGGACAGAAGGAATGGCCGACGCGCACCATCACAGTATTGGGTCGAGTAATGGTAGTGGTGCCTTTTCGGGTCATCGTGGATTTCAGTCGGCATTGCTTACACAAGCATCTGCCCACCAGTTTGGTTCCCAGTGGGAAACTCATCCGTGAAGTTGTGCCCTGAAACGATTGGGCACTAAGTGAGGAATGCGGCACTCGAGTATGACCACCGGTCGCGTCGCATCGCGGGAAAAAGCTTCATCCATTGCGGCGGTACGTACGATGTTGGAAGATTCCATGCCAGTGCTTCGGAGGAAAGGATTGTGGGATGGCGGCACTAGCGATTCACAAACACTGCGACTACCCACAATGGAAGTTCCTTTAGGCATCCTAGGATCCCTCAGCCTATTTTAAAGTCGTCATAACGTCTCGCGGCGAGCAAAGGGCCGAAGGACCCATTGATAGTGACTGCAGGTCTCAGAAATCCATCCGGATTCACGTTAGCATCCACATGAGAGTGTAACGCTGTTGGTTTGCGTTCGCAAATTTGAGCGCCAGCGTTAGAGCGCATGCAAGAAAGTGGAGTATGGTGTCAATGGTTGGGGAAATCATGCAGACGCAGCATGAGCCAGGCCACTCACAACTCATATAAGAGGATTTTTGCGCCTTGTGAATCCCTGTGTTACGGTTAAGCCGTATATGACACCGAACGGGTTTAACGAACACCCCACCCTCAAGTCCCCAACATGCATGTTTTAGTCAGCATTCATGTATATGAGCCACGACCAATGAAGATGGACTCTTCAGCTGGTCAACACAGGCACTCTGTTCCCCCTCTGATATATAAGTCCGCACCAACGAATCAGAACGGCGGCGCCGATGATTGAGAAAGCAGGGACTAAAAACATAGCAGCCACAATCCGCCATCGGGAACTCATCGCTAAAGATGTGCCTAAACAACGTCACACGGGATAGCATTGATGTTGAGTGCATAGTCATGACCTCGCGGGCCACAGGACTAAATGGATCCAACGACGAACCAAATTCGACTCTCCAGTCTTGCCTTATGATCAGCTGCATGGAGAAGTTTCCATCTAACCCCCCTAGGCTGATGAGTCGTGCCCTGGCCATGTTGCATCAGAGTATGCTGCAGCAGAGTTGTAGCAGAATTGGTTGTTAGGTATTCTAGCCGCGCGTCGGCGGTGCTGCCCCGAATTTCATTGCAGCGGAGTTGGGACGATCCGACGAGCACACATCTCTCTAGCGCGTAATGATTCCCTGACAAACTTGTACTGGAAGGAGCCGGCATAACATAAATTAACCAAACAACCAGTGGTGATTGACACACTAGGAGTCATAGATAAACAATTGGAAAGGCTGCCACGATCCGCAATGGCGACGTTTAAAAAATCGGGGGTCCGAAGGAGCAATTGATCTCCATCTCGATTAGGCTTAACTACTGGACGTGCATATGTCTCGGACAATTGTGCCACCCCACAGGGTCGCAGGACCAGGTCGCTCGTCTTCAATGCTCCGAGTCAGGAAGCGAATCCCAGATAGGGCACAGCTGATCCCAAGCCTTGTTGTGTTTTTGAGACTGAGGTCCTCTCACTTGTCCCGCTGGATCCTCCGCAAAGACGACGGCCAGACCACTACATAGCACAGAAGGCAAGGAAATTACGCACCATGGTCAATTTTCTCTCTCTGGGATATAAAAGAATAAATTTTGACATACAAGGCAAGATGCCAGTCGATATGACAATGGAAGATCCAAGGACCAGGATTATCTGTTCTGAATCTAATTCAGAGGAAGGAGGGAAAGAAATACTAGCTGCTCAACATTCTTGGTGCCGCGGAAAAATAAAAATGACCCACCTAATCGTGGTGAAATCCGTTTTTGATCCACCTGTCGAAACGACGTCCCGCTGGACTGGATTGTCTAATTTTTTTTTTCCAGAACCGAAGATTGAGGATTCAAAAAATCCTGAGGGGATAGAGATCCAAAAAAAAAAACGCACCATAATTATACACGGTCTGTCCCGCGCTACGGATAACGCTAAACGCGTGCTATATAGGCGCAACCATCAGCCCCCCACGTTGGACAGCATTAATAGGGGAAGGAAGATCCCTCCTTACTTACACCGTGCAGATGGAAAGGGTGAGGAGCCCCAAGCGATCCCCCTGGAACGGAAATCTGAATCACACTATTCCTGGGCAGGATATACACAGCTCCCTTGGGGAGTAGTTCCCTGGGATCCGCTCCATTTAGGATTTGCAGAAGAACTGGGATGGAAGGAGGTTGGTAGCTGACTCCGTTCATGAGGAACGAACCGTTATTGAATGTAATGTTGAAAACGAAATCCACGTCAGGAGAATGATGTCCCCCAGGCTACGAAGCAGCGGACAAATTTAGCCAGTAGTTGGGGGCGAGAAATAACGTAGAATGAATAAGGGAGCTGTTGCGGGGGCAGTGTAAGGCTCAATGGCACGTACGGGTTTAGGGTTATAGTAGGGAACCAAACTCTGTTCGAGAAGTGTTGTTCCTAGAGTTTGTACAGTGCCATTAGGTTCCAACGCAGGAGCACCTTCGTAACGGAGGATGGCCTAGTTAGAACACGAAACAAAAAAAAAACAAAAAAAGTTAAATTCTAGGGGGTACATGGGGAGATGTGTGTCGGCAAAATACGTACAGAATTGATTCCACCTGCGAAGCCTTGCGAGCCACTCGAAGGATTAGCTCGGATCCAGTAATTTCCGATGGGTTGATTTGCGGTGAGCTGAACCAGGAGAGGAATAAGCACTGTGTGCGTGAGAAAGGAGAGAGAGAATGCATACAATGACGGAGTAGCGTTGACCCACGAATATTTGCAAGGAATTCACAACCCGAGGCTAAACCCGAAATTGATTGTCAGTGTAGAAGACACGCGGGACAGAAACCCACTCACCTTGGTTGTGACACCATCTGCCTCGATCACAGTCATCGTGTGTCCTTCGAAGGTTACAAGATAGTTGGGATCGCACGCCATGTTAATGAGTCGCATGCGATATCGCTTTCCCTTCTCTACTGATACGACAGACAAAGGACCTCCCGTGCTACCCGGATAGCGACCGAGACCGTTAATCTATATACAGAAAAATACGTATCCCAGTCATCAGCCACGCCAAGAGGAAGGGGCACCCAATCGCCCAACCACACTACACACCAGGTGCGAGTCAGGTCTTGGAGGCACATGTTTTGCAGCAACTACAGGAGCAAACCTAGCATGGGAAAACGCCCGCTCAACAAAGGAGTTCAGACAGACGGGAAATAAAGGAGAATATTTACGCATGATACCAATCCGCGAACGTTATAACGGTACTCGCGTCGTCCACATCATACATCCACCGGTAAGGGTCCCGAGGATCATCTGATAGAAAAAGGGCAATGTATCACTGCGAACGGCTGAGAAGCAGTTTACGAGGACACCTACAGATGACAATAGGACCTCGCAAGCCTAACAGAGGGAGGAGAATTGAGGATTAATGAGAGAGACGGACAGAAAGAATGATCGACGCGCACCATCGCAGTATTGGGTCGAGTAATGGGAGTGGTACCTTTTCAAGTCATTCCATCAGCATCAGTGTCATCGCCCACACACCCAGTTTTGAGGGCTTACCAGTATGTTCCACTTTGTCCCCCAGCGGGGAACTCATACGTGAAGCTGTGCCCTGAAGCGATTGGGCACTGAGTCACAAATGCGGCACCTGATTATTGGGCGTGTCAGATTGACGCGAAGTCACGACACGGAGAAGAAGCTTCACCATCCATGGCAGCAGTACGATGTTGGAAGATGCCATGCCAGTGCTTCGGATATCAGGCTTATGAGATGGAAGCTGGCACTAGTGATCAAAACACCGTGACTACCCACAATGGAAGTTCCTTTAAGCATTCTGGGATCACTCAATCGATTGTTCACCTCGATTTTAAAGTCGTCATTGCGTTTTGCGGTGAGCAAAGGGCCGAAAGCCCCATCAACAGTTATCGCAGGTCTTGGAAACCCATCCGGATCCACGTTAGCATCCACGACGTTAATAGTGTAACGTTGTTGTTTCGCATTCGCCAACCCCAGCGCCAGTGTTAGAGCGCACGCAAGAAGGTTGAGCATGGTGTCAGTGGTTGGGGGGTTTAGATGCCGTGTTTGAGGCAGGTTATATGAGGATTTTTTGACCCTTGTGACAGCCTGAAGGAGACGTAACGTAATACCGCTGTTTTTCAATCCCTTCCACCAGACGGCCATGGCCATGCGTCAATGCGCCAGCCATTTGTGTCATCAGAGTGTAATCCCAAATGGCAGTGCTAGATCACCGCAATGGGGTCGGGGTGCTGATTGGCAACGGTTTTAGTGGCAAGGGGGGGGTTGTCTTGGCCAGAAAACCAACGCCTTCTAACAAGAACAAATGTCACCATGCCTTCCGAAGAATCCGAAGAAAGTCACAACCACGAATATAATTATTGAATTGTGCGAAGAAGCGCCCCGGTGCCGACATAACCAAATCAGGCAATGGGGCACACCAGTTGTCACTTTTTCAGTTTCTAAGATTGCACCCGAGATCGTGACAACTGAATTCGGCCACCTGACAACCCGGGGAGGCATATCCTAACGGCGGGCCCGAATAACCGAGACTTCCCCGTCTAGTTGTTCAAGTGCTTTACATACATGGTAGGACTTTTGGAATGCACATTTTGTATCAATAAATGTGCAATGTTGATATTCTGTGGTTGACCGTCTACCAACGAAATAAATGGTGGCACTGATGATCGAGAAAGCAAGAACACAGCAATAATGCCCAAACAACACCAACCCCGAAGATCACACGGGATAGCGCTGTAGTCATGGCCTCGTGGGGCTACGGGACCAAAGGATCAAACGAGGTTCAACTCTCTGCTCTCAGCTGCATGCCTAGGTCAATGAGTCATGCCCTTGACCGTGTTGTTATTGGACTCTATTTTGTTGCCCGGCGCCCGCCTTGATACGTGGCAGTGCGCCTATCCCGAAACACTACAACTTACTTAGTCGAGCAATACATGATTGCCCTGGCCGTGTCACAGCGGGGGTGATAGTCTGTCAGCCACGATGTTGATCGCGTCAGATTTGCAATTTGACTCAGTTTGCACGCATAAGCAAATGAATGGATGCATTTAAAAGATTATGTCAGTTTCAGCGCGTAATTTCATGCTCACGTCATTTCTTTTTATGCTAGACAGCGGGTGGGAATTTAGATGACCGAGGTAGGACACCGGGCTTAGGTCGGGAGGCTTAAATGAGGCAAGTGTATAGGCGCTCTGCTGATATTACATCTGCTGCTACTAGCCTACTACTACAACTTCTGCCGGCGGGTGGTTGTGGTACGCCGACTGCGATGATGGATTTTCCTCCTCCGATGCAGTGCCATGAATTCGTCGCTGTTACTGTGCTCTCCTACCTGTGTCTCTCCGCCTATTATTACTCCCATTCTGACCGACACCATCTCATAACCATTATCTTCTCATCTGAGTCACTCAGCTCTTCTTCGTATTCTAACAACGTTAGCGATCCGAGCCATTACTCGTCTCGGTCTCCCACTGCCGCAGTGACACAAGGTCAGACTCAGTCGTGAAACGCTGAAGCTTTCTTTTGCTCAGTTGCCCCCTCCCGTTTCGTCGCTTTCGTCGCTTAGATCGGCTGGTTCGTTTGTGGGGGTGGGGGTGGGGGTGATGCGGATTATTTTAGTGTTGAACATTCAATGATGTGGCTGACAAAACAGCATTAGCAGGGATGAACGGGGGATCGATAGTGGCGAATGAAGAATCAACCAGCAGCAGCAGCAGCAGCAGGACATTCATACTTTCGACGTCGTTTTCGGGCTGGTTGAAGGGCCCGCCAGGAGAGTTTCCCCTCGTCCTATTCTTCTTATTTGACTTGAGCCCTTCTGGTTCGCGTGGTATGGTTTCGAGGCTGGTTAACGAAAAAAAGAGGGTAACGATGATGAAGCGTTGGTTGTGCTGAGAATAGTCCTTTCAGTTCGTCCCCGCCGCGGCAGCTGCGAATATCGGGAGGGCCATGGTGATGAAGAAAGTTTTGTTTGTAAAGAGCATTGAGACCATCACCTTAAAATTCGGGGACGGCGACAACCAGGTGTCGTTTGGAGGTGCCCTTTTTCTCTAGAAAACCTTTCTCCTCTTTTTTTCTCAACTTCAAACCTGCGCTTCGTCAGCGAATCGGTTTAGTTCGTGACTTAGCTCACATGCCGGTCGAGTCGTAAGTCATCCTCATCCTCGCATGCTAGCGCCGCTTCTTCAATTCGTTTCCCAGTCTCATCACTGTAATGTGTCACGGCTCCGTCATACTTCAAACTAAGTCGAGGTGCCGCAAGCTTGAGCCTGTGAAATTCAACATTAAGTTATTACATTTCAACAATTGGTGCAAATGTGGGGTTGACACATTAGTGGTAGTAGATAGATAATTGAAAAAGCTGCCATGATCCGCGTATAGCGAAGCTTAAACAAGACGAAGTCCAAAAAAGCAAGAAAGATGCACTAGTACCGCCAAGTCGCAGTCGAAACGATATTTAGACGCCCCAACCACTCCACCCTGATCAGGTTTGCGTACTTGCGCTTCAAACAATTGTTACCGCAATTGTTACCGCACCAGGATCGCTAGACTAACTCGCTCGTTTTTTCAATGTTCTGAGTCAGGAAGCGAATCCCAAATAGGGCATAGTTGGTCCCAAGCTTTGGTGTGTTTTTGAGACTGAGGTCCTTTCACTTGTCCCGCTGGATCCTCCGCAAAGACGACGGCCAGACCCCTACACGGCACAACAGAGAAGCGAATTGCGCCCCATGGTCAGTTTTTTTTTCCCTCTTTCTGGAGGGCCACGATGATTTGGAAGGATAAAATCTGACTTACGCTCCAAGATGCCAGTCAATATGACAGTGGAATATCCAAGGTCCAGGATTATCCGTTCTGAATCTGGGGTGAGGAAAGTGCATTACCATGTAGCTGCTCCACGTTCTTGGCATCACGAAAAAATTAAGGATGACGCACCTAATCGTGGTAAAATCCGTTTTTGATCCTCCTGTCGAAACAACATCCCGCTGGACTGGATCGTCTAAATTTTTTTCCAGAACCAACAATTGATGATCCGAAAAAACAATCCTGAGCGGATAGAGATCCAAAAAAAAAAACGCACCATAATTATACACGGTCTGTCCCGCGCTACGGATGACGCTAAACGAATGCTATACAGGCGCAACCATCAGCCCCCCACATTGGACAGCATCAATCAATAGTGAAAGAACTTTCTTTTACTTACACCGTGCAGATGGAAAGGGTGAGGGGCCCCGAGCGATCCACCAGGAACGGAAATCTGAATCACGCTATTCTTCGGCAGGATATACACAGACCCTTTGGGGAGTAGGTTCCTAGGATCTGCTCCATTCAAGATTTGTAGGAGAATGGGGACTGATGGTGATTGATAGGTGACTCCGTTCATGAAGAACGAATGGTTTCTGGATGTAATGTTGAAAACGAAGTCCACGTCGGGAGGATTATGACCCCCGGGCTTTTAGAAGCAGGGTATTAGATCAGTAGTTGGGCGCCAGTGTGGTCCACAAAAGGAATACGAGATTAGTTGTTTTGGCAGAGTGGGGGAAGGGGGAATGTAAGATTCGATGGCACGTACGGGATGAGGGTTAGAGTAAGGAACCAGACTCTGTTCGAGAAGGGTTTTTCCTAAGAATTGTGTAACACCAATAGGTTGCGACGCAGGGGCACCTTCGTAACGGAGGATAGCCTAAAACAAAGCATAAAAGATTTTCAGATTGTGCACTTGAAAGGGAGAGATGTGTGCTGGTTATGGTCCAGTGGAGGCAGAAACACACATACGGAATTAATTCCACCCAAAAAGCCTGGCGGGCCGCTCGAAGGGTTCGCTCGGATCCAGTAATTAGCGACGGGTCGATTTGCGGTAAGCTGATTCAGGAGAGGGATCAACACTGTTTGTGAGCGAGGAGAACGGGAGGGAGTGCCTACAATGACGGAGTAGCGTTGACCCACGAAAAGCTGCACTGAATTCACAACTTGAGGCTACAAAAAAAAACGAAATTGATTGTCGGTATACTATTGCTTTATCGGGAAACGAGGAAAGAAACCAAAAAGGAGTCACCCTCGGCAGGAACCTGCTCACCTTGGTCGTGATGCCATCTGCTTCGATGACAGTCAAGGTGTGTCCTTCGAAGGTTATAAAATAGTTGGGATCGCATGCGATGTTAATGAGTCGCATGCGGTATCGCTTTCCATGCTTCACCGATACAACAGATAAAGATCCTGTCGGGTTACCCACCCAGCGACCGAGGCCGTTGATCTACATACAGATAAAACACATTCTCAATCATCAGCAGAAAAGGCACCCAAATCACCCAGAATCACATCACGTACCAGGGTCGAGTCAGGTGTTGGAGGTCCAGGTCTTGCAGCAACTACGGGAGCAAACCTGGCATGGGAAGGCGCAAGCTTACAAACGGGCCCAGACAGATTGGAAATTGAAGAGAAATATTTACGCATGATACCAATCTGCGAACGTTATGACAGTACTCGCGTCGTCTATGTCGTAAAATCCCAGGTAAGGGTCTTGAGGATCATCTGGCAGAAAAAAAGTGTCACTGCAAACGTCTGAGAAGCGGTTTCGAGGACACCCACAGATGACGATAGGGCCTCGCAAGCCTAACGGAGGGAGGGACATTAATTATGAGAGACACGGACGGAAGGAATGATCAACACGCACCATCGCAGTATTGGGTCGAGTAATGTGAGTGGTACCTTTTCGGGTCATCCTGTCAGCACTGGCGGCATTGCTTACATAATCGACTGTGAGAGCGCTTGCCAGTATGTTCCAGTTTGTCCCCCAGTGGGAAACTCGTACGTGAAGTTGTGCCCCGATGCGATTGGGCACTGAGTCACAAATGCAGGACCTGGATATCATTAGCTGTGTCAGAAGTCACAATACGAAGGAAGAAGCTTCACCATCCATGGCGGCAGTACGATGTTGGAAGATGCCATGCCAGTGCTGGAGAGGAAAGGATTATGAGATGACGGCACTAGCGATTCACAAACACTGTGACTACCCACAATGGAAGTTCCTTTGAGCATCCTAGGATCACTGAGACGATTGTTCACCTCGATTTGAAAGTCATCATAGCGTCCTGCGGCGAGCAAAGGGCCGAAGGTCCCATCAACAGTGACTGCAGGTCTCGGAAACCCATCGGGATTTACGTTAGCATCCAGAACCTTGAGGGTGTAACGTTGTTGTTTTGCGTTCGCAAATCCCAGCGTCAGTGTTAGAGCGCATGCAAGAAAGTGGAGCATGGTGGCGTCGATGGTGAAAGCGTGGTGCCGTGCGTTAGGTAGGTCTCATATAAGAGAATTTCTGCATCCTATGAATCCCTGAAGAGTCAGGACGCGCAGGGTAGTAACGCGTGGGTCTCCGATTGCCTGTACTGGACGTCCATGGATCAACATGTAAAGTCCTCAGCCAATAACGCTAGAGGCCGCAAAGTGGGGATGCCAACCGGCGGTTTCCGTATAGCTGGCATAAGGAAGTTAGGAACACAATGCCTATGAACAAGAAGGCGAATACAATATTTGCCCATTGTACGTTCGTGCCAAGGGACCTCGGTGCAGACATAACCAATTCGGGTAATAGGGCAGATTGTCGAGACAACAACCGAGATCCGTGATTACATAATAGGATAGAAAAGCGCCGCCGCTGTCGCAATAACTCGCTTCAGATTCTGACTGGCACTCTACCTTAGTGGAGGCTGGGATCTTGCCTAGACTTCTTCCTGCTGTTGTGTGATCTCCGGCGCCATTGTAACTCCGCAAATCAATGCCATTCTCCAAGAAGTCCACAGGGAACGCGCCACATCCTGAAGGGCCCGAATTTCAGAGGCTCTTTACGTCTTGTTTTGGAGGGTCGGAGGGTCCAATTCCACCCCCCCAGGTGCTCATTTTGTGTCATCTGGGCCGGTTGTCCACGAAACGAACTTCCCCGCGGCCATCACCGAAGATACTGCTTACCCTATAGGGGCTACCCAACCCGCGGCCATACACCTGAACCTTCCAGCCGCTCTGTTTGTTTTGGTCCTGTTTCCCGCGAGCTCGTGACTATTACGCGGCAGTACCATCCCGTCTGTCAGCATGGCACTCTAGCAGACAGAGCTAAGTTACGAGTTGCCTGCCCGTGCCAACCTCATGTGAGGCGGTGCTTATATGAGCACTTCAACGCGGGGTCTCTCTTTCAACTCTCATAATTAATCGTGGTGCTTGTGCGATACTTAGTGAGTTTCAGGTTGATTACCATTACTTCTTATCTTTTGCATACAGTGGGGGATGCTTTCACAGTCTTTCTCAGAGAACTTGACACAATTATGTCTCCACCGATCCCGGAAAGCGCCTCTCGTGGTTTTTGGTAGTGGTAGTCATCTGGTCAGCAGCAGCCTGCACCACCATCGGATCCAGCGCTTGACACTTAGGGATGGGGAGATCCCTAACTTCTCAGCTTTAACCTCCTTACAAGAGCTGTCACTTAATTGTCGTGCCTCTACGGTTGACCCAGCCCGTCTGGAGGCTTTTTTTCGTCTTCTCTCCCATGCTCCAATCCGCCACATACGACTTCAAATGCAGCAAATCCCCTTCTTCCCTGCTGTAAATGCAATTAATCTCACTCATGTTGAATTGCACACTTATCATCCATCAATTCCAAATGCCATCAATGCCGCGACCAATCTTGTGTACTTCTCCGTGGTTGTTAACCGCCTTTCCACATATGTGACAAGTCCCGTAACTGGAATCACAGCACTGCCGTTCTTGCGGTCCCTCACCCTCGGAGGGGCTTCCATGCATCATGGACTCTTCCCCCAAAGCGCAGACAGGTTAGAAACCATTCAATTGATAAATTCAAAACACCCTCCACCAGTGCTTCATTCCTCACAATTCCCTTGCTTGCGGCTCGCCGCCATCGACGCATGCAACATCGATGTCAACGACCTGAAGGATTTCTTTGCTCATCACCCTAAACTTGAACATTTTTCCCTCCTTAATTTGCGTGATACCCATGACCCGCATTTTCTGGAATGCCTGTGCCGTGATGACTTAGTTTTGTGTCCCTCGCTACGCTGGTTGCAGCTGGACGTTATCTCGAGGGCAAACGAGTGGGACCGCGTGTTTGCCGGCGTCCTTTCCCACTTGCACTATATCAGGTTTTTCCAGACTTCCACCCCTCTCTACATCGGACTTTACGGGATATCAGAAAGTAATACACCTTGCACGTTCCAGCTTGCAACATCCAAGCATATTCCTCTATTCCTTATCTCTTTTTCGGATCCCTTCCAACCAGATTGGCTCTGATCTCTGGGTGAGCATACATTACGGACGCCATCTTCTCGACGCTGGCTGATGACCTTTTGTCCCAGCTTCGCCTATCAGTTGCTGTCAGCATGAGACGGTCAATCACATGGCGTGGGATTGCTACTGATCTTTCACTCCAATATCCGTCTCAACAAGCTGTTCCGGCTAATTCTCACGTTCTTGTGTAATGAAGTTCATGTGGAACAAGGTTATGTTGCCCTCCTACAATGAATGGGATTGAGATACTTGACCCTTTCACCTGGACAACATTCCTACCGGAGCTACTCCTTGCAATGCGCTTGTGTGTCCGACTGTGATCTAGTAACGCAGATTCCCCAGTGGCTCGCTGATTTGGCCGAAATTTAGCCACACCGTGCGTTGCTTCCAGTCGAGACAATGAGTCTGTCCAGCTTTCTGGATTTTTAACTTATTTTGTTCATTGTCCTGCTTTGAGAAATTTTGTCTTGCTCTCCTATTTTCCTATTTACAGAGGGTGTCTTTCAATTGAATGGCGTGCTTGTGTCAAACTACGGTGGCTCAAATGGAGTGTAGGCAAGTGGCGGCCAAGTCCCAGGCCTTGTTGGATCTGGTGGGCAGGCGATTCGCTGCTACTGCAACCTCGGCTTGCGACGGTTTTAGTAGGCTGACTGCGATGGCGCCTTTGCCTCCTGGGATGCAGTAATTTAACTATTGGACCATACGCCTTAGGATATAGCGCCCCCGTACTATCAGGTCGCGAGGGTGCAAGTGTGGCCCGATGGTGTCGGTGCTCCTATTACTACAGGGTACTTATTAGAGGCTGGGATCCTGCCTAACAGCGTATGTCCCCATCTCACCTAATACTCCCACCTATGTTGGCGTAAGGTCTTATCATGGATATAACAACGGCTTCCACCCTGGATCGGTGCATGACGTTACAATAAATTCGTCGCTGCTAGTGCCTCTCTGCTTCATCCCCTAGCTCTTAATTCCTCTACTAGTATTCATTCTGGATCCGGTGGGGAAACAGCAGTGTTACTGCCGTTCCGACCAGCGCCACCTCATCGCCTACTCTTCATAGTCCCTTGCATCGTCTTTAAATTCTCATCGCTTGGTATTTCCTCGAGTAAAAGTAAAGTGAAACGTTGATGTTCCATAGTCCACGAAACGAAGTGACGCGGGGCCTAAAGCATAGTTCGCCTTCGCGGACCCATACCCAAAACAACACCAACCCCGAGGATTATACAACCCGCGGCCATACACCTGAACGTTGCGCTGATCCAGTGGATTATCATGTACAAGCTCGCGGGACAACAAGACCAAAAAAAATTCAGAATCTAACGACCAGCGACTCGAGTCTCTATTCTTACCTCAGTCATATGTTGGCCTCATTCCATCGTTCTCATTATATAGTAATATGGCCTTTTTAAGTCAATGAGTCGTGCCGTGTTGCAGCAGAGTTGGCCGAGTTGATTGTTCTCTCTTCAGTCGCACGTCAGCGCGGAGCTGCCCGAATTCCATGGTTGTAGCAGAGTTAGGCCAATCATAGTTCGTCTGATGAGAGGACACATCCTGAGGGCCTCACAGGGAAGCCACAGGGGACCCCCAAACTGGCCCGAATATCCCTAAAGATATTACCCATGATAGACAAGTACAAAGGCCAGATGACGGAACGGGTAGGGAGGGAAACAGCCCGAGAGGAAGAGAAGAGAAGCGGAAGAGGGGAAAGATGATCAGATACACTCCCCATCACAACATTACCCACCACAGAGCGAAACCTGAAAGCACCCCCAGAACAACACAATCCCGAGGATCGTCAACCAGCTACACGACACCAGGATAGCTTCAAGTGGTATCGAATATTACCGACTACACAAAGATGAGTATCAACAGCTCTTCTGGCGAGACCAGCGGAATTGCCACCGCAGAACAAAAGGAAAAGGGGAATGGGAGAAAATGGTTTCATTCTTTCTTTAGTGGAACGCCAGTAGCTTTCGCGATACATCACTGTATTTTGGGGTTTCATTTGCAGTCTCAACGAGAACGACCTTCAGAGCCGCATTATACATAACGGAATTAGCCGAATTTATTGTCTCTATAGCATCTCCTTTCGCAGAGTTTCTGACTGTCAGTTACAGAGCCTTTTTTATTTTCTCTGTACCTGAGTTTCCGAAACTTCGGCTCTCCTGGACCTCAGACCCTCCCCGAACGAACGCCACCGCCAGGCATTCCACTTAGTCACCAAATCCTTGTAATGCTCCGTCCCTGAATAACATTGAGGACTTGGCGGGCCTCGTGGCATGCATTATACCCTTCATCTGAGCACATCTTCGAATGTTCGGCCAGTGACTGCAATGATCCTCCCCCCCATCGTGTGACTATGCGTGCAGCCGACTTGTGAAACACTCACACTGGACCTGGCCTATATGTGTGGTCGTAAAGGAGAAGTTGAATGTTTGTGTTTGTTCCCTTGGACTCGTGCGAAGTCGAACTCCCGAAGCTTGAACCAGGTAAGCGATTGAATAACGTTCATGAAAACCTCTCCAGGGAACTTATTTCTTCCTTAGAGATGCTTATGTGACCCCGAAAACGTACTCATTTTATTGTCCCTGTTTAAGCGCTGACAGCATCCATCATCCCCTAATTGCTATCGATCATGAGTGCATTTTAGAACAGGTCATCCGGTCGCGCCGGCTAGCGGGGATAAAATAAATCTCTAGGGAGATCACGTACATCCAAGAGCGCGTGTCTTAATTGTTCTTCCAGCGGGCACATAGCGTCAATTGGGGTACAAGAGCTGACCGAATGATTCATTGTGCGGTTGCCTGGTAGTGCAAAGAGGGTAGAGTTGTAATACATGCAGTCTTTATCCTCCAACCCACCTGCAGGCTGGTCGGAATGTTGTGACAAGCATTGCATATTGATTGAAGATTGAAACCAATGCACGTATTGCTGGGAGCGCTAAGAGTATAGGTACGTAGCGAGTCGACACGTAGTGACATTCCTTAGTCGATCACACACATTTCATTGACCGGGTTGTAATTCGATATCTAGTTCAACTTGTACATTTCACAAAAAAAAAAAACTGGCTTACTGCTACCAGATGGGATACAGATTGTGCCTATAAACTACAAATGGCAAAGGGATGGAGAGGAAGTTGAGTATATAAGAAAAAGATAAGTCATGTGTTGGTGTTGGGAGTAAGTAATGCAATGAGAGGTTGGCAGAATTGGCTGCCAGAGCGATTATGCCGCGGCTAAGAATGAATAGATTGAAATGTAAGTGCTGCTTGTGTTGATGAGTGACTTCATTTCTCGCGATGGCCGGACTTGACAGGACGTGGTTGTGATGCATCTTCATCTCCCGAATGATCCTGGGGATCGACCTGAGGTTGAATGGAAACGTTCCGGGACGTTGTCAAGAATGGGGATGTGACGATAAGAGAAAAGCACGACGCACAAGTAAGCTCAGTTCAATGTCGTAACGTTCTTTATCTGCTGCCGCTTGCTTAAGATAGTACTAATCGCGTGGAGGACCATCATTGCGACAAGAAGCTTTATTGGGTGAGATATCCCTACCTCCCGATCCAAGTCCCCTAATGCCTTCCATCTTGCACCGATCAACTTTCCATGCTCAACTATCCCGAGGTGGACGTACGTGAGTAACAAACAAGTCCGAATTTGCGGATGCGCTCGGACTGACGAGATGACGCGTCGGGATTCTCTTCCTTTATAAGTTTTTCCCACTCCTAAATGTGATTAAATCCAGCGGCAACATCGCCCCGATCGAGTTGCCACGCACCTCACAAAAAAACATGAAAGCAGACAAGGGTCTCTTGGGCGCATGAGGGTTGGTATTCATCGGCTTTTTCTTTGACCCTTTCAACACCATCGGATTGCCAGCGTTTCTCTAATATAATAGCGCATAAACGACCCCAACGGGTGGAATGTGTAGTAGGTGAAATCACAGCAGACTTACACCCTTCTTATGCTTGTAATGACTTGTCGATTTCGGCATCTGATCGAGTGGGTCATATAAGAATGAGTCAAATGAGCGTCGGCCGCAGAAGGTTAATGTGATTTGCCACCGCGAAAAGGGACAACGACAAAAATGCGCCATAAACCGCCTTGGTGCCTTCAAGGGGGGCATGTCCTAGGTTCTAACTAGCCTCCATTAGACATATGGAGAGTACGATGAAATCCATCTGGGCTTGAACGCCTCTCCATCGGCTATATGGAACACCACAAGATCCATTCGGCGCCCCCCAGATCAAGAATCTGGCACTCTTGCAAGGTAGATATGACTCCAGGCGTACCTTGAGCGGTTCCCAAACGTCTATAACACGATCGGATTACACTACAGGAGGAAACAGAACACAGAACTTGCAACAGAGAGAGTGATCGATCCTAATTCGGAGCCGCAACCAGTTATTTGCATCCGTAGTCAACCAGGTTCAGCTAGCGCGCGCGTTTGAATCTCGCGAGTTTGACATGCCACGAAGTCGAAGTTGGTCACGAAATTATCACATGAAGAAGGGAGAGAAAAGGGGCCGAGGAAAACGCGTCAACTGGCGGAAATCTGAGCCTCCCAAACCAAAGTTGCAAATTGAACCAACATCGTCAACATCACCGACTACCCCAACCACCCTACCGGATGATAGCATAATATCAACGGAACAACTACCACCAACAGAGAAACAAACACGGGAACAAGAACATGAGGTACCGAAAGGTGATCGAGAGTATCACTGCACATACTTGAGACCGTCTGCAAGTGGACCACGTCTATCCAGTGTCCAAGAGTTTGTGTCGTCACCCTTCGCAGACCCTCCCACCTTGTCCGACCCCCAGTGCGCTTACTTTGCGTCCGAAAATATCCTTAACGCCCTCACGTACTACCTTCCATTCGAATTAGCACTGGTAAGCAGCATCTGTTCTGGTGGGTTGCACGTGTTTTCGTTGACATGGGCCTTCCGACTTTGGGGTATTTGACACAAGATCGTATGGTATAACAAGACACGCGCCGAGAGTCGAATATGTGCTGCTTGCCAGCGATTCTATCGGCTTGGAGAAAAACTACCGTCGCTCATCCGTACCGATCCTCAGTTGGAAGCGGTTTATGATGGTCCTCAACGGGAACGAGAGAAATGGATTAGTGGTTTATGTGCGTCAACCTCATACGACTCTGCGCTGGGACAAGTATCAATGAACATTCTAACCATGCAAGGCTCCTTCATGTGTTTTGGAATCACGCTCGTGAATGCTCCAGGGATAGGACTCAACGCATGGGGTCGATTTGAGCATGAAATTGACCAACAAACTCTTTGGCTAATTAACAATTCCCAAGTGCGTCTTCTATTATTGAATCTCTTTGGTTGTTACTTCTGTCTCACGAAAAACTGGGAACTGCACAGCCAACCGTTGATGACCAGGGTCTTGTGAGTTCTTCAGGAATGTCCTCTCATTATCTATCACAGTTCTTTGATAATCGCCTGCAGGGCAGGTTGTTCAAGTTGACGCGGAAACCTGATGCGGGTACACTCTCCTTTCAGGTTTCGTCACAGACACCGACCGCGCCGCCCAGTGCCTAATGGTGCTTTACATGTCCGACCTCTCTTGCGCCACTTATCCACACCTTCACCGATGGTGCAGTCGCACATTCCCTAGTGGAACTGCGCAGACATAACCGACCAAAATCCCGGGCCGTGCGACGTCGCCGCATACCTGTGGACTTATGGCGTTATTATGCGCAACAATACGTGGGATTGATTTGTTGTGGATGACGCTTGCGGCCTTCGGTGCTCAGAACAACGCTTAATTTCAATGCTCTGTATTTAAGTAAAACTAACCGACGCAAACTAATGTAGCATTCCCGATTTAGTCTTGTCTGTCACTCCGAGATTACCGATGGCAGCGTTGGGTGAGCGTGTCCAAGCTTCGGAGTCGGAGGTGTACTCCCTCCAAGACATCAATAGATCGCAATTTCCAGCCGCGTCAATTAATGCGCAAAGACCTTGGCATGCTGTCAACTTCAATACAGACGAAACAGCCAAGGCTGAACATGCATTTGGTGGGTGGGGGGACAAGTTCACGTCATTTCCGCACTACTATATATTGTACGGCGGAAAGAGCATCGTCCAATAGGCGAAACTGAACTTACGCAAATCGAGATAACATCTCCGCCACAGCGACAGGACGGTTGCAGTTTGTCCCTGGCGTTAAGGATCAACGTAACAAATGACCTGGCCATGTGATAAGGAAGCATAGAACATCTTACGCCGTGACCTGCGTATCTGGGTTTGGCGGCGAAGAAGAGCCGAACGTGCCATTATCACAAATCAATCATGCCAAGTGCATCCATGTAGCGTCCGAGGCACGGTAATGAGGCCGAGAGAAAGAAACGAGGGACCGAAGTTGCGAAGTGATCGTGACAAGCCGGAAGCAGCAAAGATCGGACAAACAGCAACTACTGGGGCATGAGTTTGAGCCTTTTTTTCATTGACGAGGAGCACCACAGAATACCATCCAAGATTCCCGAGGACCAACAAACCGGTATGGGAAAAAGGGGCGACCTTTTGCTTGAGCGAGAAGACAATCGACCCGGATATCGAGTAATAAAGATCAAGGAAGATCTCCCTTCCCCACGCCATGTGGTTGGCCATCTTGGCACACTGGCACTGACAGGAACTTGTGCGCTGGGACAAGAGATCATCAGCCAGCGTCAAGAAAATGGCGTCCACAATGTATACCCAAAGATCAGAGTCAATCTGGTTTGAAGGGATCCGGAAAAGGAGGTTCTTCCGTAGAATAATATATGACTCGGACTTATACTCTGATTTTCCCTTCTTCCCCGAAGCCCGAGCGGAGGGAAGTGGAAGTCTGAAGGGTCCTGATATAGGGCAAGTAGGAAAGGAAGCACGAAAATGTGCGATCTTACTAGCTGTTCGCCTCTGAAAGATGAACTTCCAGCTGCAGTAAGCGTAGCAGTCGCGGCACAGGTATTCCAGCGAAAGCGGGCCATGGATACTACTCAATCCTGAGATGGAAGAATACTTAAGTTCCATGCGTTGATCTCGGCGACACGCAAGCAAGGAAATTGAGAGAAATGTTGTTTACACATTGGTGTATTGTGATTCTGTTGTGGGACTTCTGGAGCCGGAACGGCACTTGAAATTGATGGATGATAGGCATGCAATTCAACTTGAGCAAGATTGATAGGGATCTGAAGTTGTAAGCAGCGGATTGGGGCATGAGAGAGAAGACGAAAAATTTTCAAACCTAGGGATCTCTACGTTTCTAAGCGACAAGCGCTGGGCCCGATGGCGGTGCAGGCTGCTGCCGACGAGACAACTGTGCTTACCGCAAGAGGCGCTCGCTGAGATCGGTCTAGGCATAATCCATGAGAACGTCCCCCACTATATGCAAGGGATAAGTAGACACCTCGGAATGCCGTCCGAGAATACTTAAGACTCCCGAGCACTCGAGCTAAATCTGGAATGTAGGACTCTGAGTCTACAGGTACAAGGCAACGGCCAACTCGGGACCTGGGAAAGAATGTCGGGTTTCCCCTCACATCATCAAGCACTTTGACCAGCTTGTGAATGACTTCCTTTGGACACCGGTCAACACTCAACTGAACACTTAATAAGAATGGGCTTACAGATCTCGGACCAACGCGGGGGTGGTGACGATACACTATTAATGTACCGAAGAATGGGTGACAGCTCAGCCTTTTCAGAAAACGCTCAATCAGCTCTAAACCCTTTGCAAGGGAAAGGCCCCGTATTCAAGATTTCAACGCAGCGCAGGCTCTGGCATTCTCTCTCCTCATATCCGTCACGAAACGATGATGATGTGGATCGGTTCAGCCCAGAAAGCCGTGGAAATGTTGACACAGAACACGAATCGGCATGTCAGGGTCTCCAATTCCAGAGACGAAAGCCACAAGTCCAACAAATGAACATCAGACTGTGTTAACGGAATAGCATTCCAAGATCAAGAACAGGACGATGCTCCAAAAGATTGCAGGATGATATGCAAGATGTCAAGATACGGAAGAGAAGCCGAAGCAGAGCTAGGAATTGTGGGAGTGCAGGGAAGCGGGAATGGAAAACAATCTAGAGGTGGAAGTTGACATCAACATCGATTGACATTGGCTTCCTCGCGAGATCGCCACTAGGGACATCATGTAGCGGAAAACCAAATATTGAAATAACGAGCTGCCTACCTGCTCCAATCTGATTTCAGCCAACTTTCCTCAATGCTGTTATTCAAACCAGAATTCAAGACGTATCCTTCAGTTCGCGTGGCGTCGAAGGGCATGTTGAAGTGGCTTCCGATGCCCTTTGTTGCCGCGGTAATCGTTCCCTTTTATGGGAAATTTTGTTGTTCTAACGCTTTAGCCTTTGTCCCTTTGTGCCACTCAGAGATGTATATAAGCACAATATCTAATGACACTCTGATGTCGTGCTCAGATCGTGCTTAGGGCTGCGATGCCGTGATTATGACAGGACAGTCGTGCACGTCTGCATTGTCTCAAAGATTTCCACTGATAGGGGAATCTCAACGACGGCCGAAGTGACGAAGAATTTGGAGCCCTCGCTCGCCGTTGGGGAGACTCAATTGAGCCTAGTGATGATCATCGGCATTCGCCGGTCCTAAAAGATCACACGACTTCAACCAGATGAGATAGAGGTGCTTCAGCCTATTGCCAGAGATCGTCGAACATATGATCTTCTCACCACTGCTCGCCCGCCTTGAAGGAGAATAGGATTTAATCTCTTCGGGGAGGGGAACTGTGTACGGGATCACAGTAGTAGATGTTGTTCGGAGAGCTGGCGAGTGGAAGATCGAAATCAAGGGCTTGTTGTGATTGGTACAAAGTAACCCGTTGTACACGCCTGTTATATACACAGAGGATGGATCATAACATCCATCCTCTGCGATCGAGTGTGCGATGATGTGCCTTGCCACGGCAGTCAGTAGCGGAACAGGCTTACTGTCCCGTGCCAAGTCACCAAACCCTAATTCGCCCAATCAGATCGATCTTAATGCTATTCAGGCACTCCTGATTTGAATCGTTGTAGACGACAATGCGGTACTTACGTAAGATTGGAGGAGAACGGATGATTTCTCGAGATCTTGATGGCGCCGATCCATAGTTTTGTCCCTGGTTGCGATAATGAACGGGGGCGGAAACATGATGACAGATCAATTTTGGAACATTAATGAGATCCCAAGTCATCGATCCTGCGCTGGGGTTCTTCATATGAGAGAAGGAATCGTGGACGTGGAACCGTCCTCCATCCTTCCACACGGTCGATCGGTCTTGGTTCGAATGCCTTGCAGAGCGTCTACGTCGTGCGGCGCTCAAGGCTCACAGAGAAATGCGCTTAGTAGCTCAGCTTTGTGACCTTTTCCACCCTCGGCTTTGCCGGGTCGCTGGACGAATCATCCGAATCGATGGTCGCAACTGCAACGCACCATGACGTTAAGGATGCATCTTTCCTAGGCTTTCCCCGGCCCCATCAGTCCTTATTCTTCCTGAGCTTAACACAAACTACCGGGTTCGGCACCAGCCTTGGGATTGGGAGTGTGACACCGATGGCCAAGTTC